GAGGTTCACGGGGGACACGGTGTCCTTCGAGGAGGAGCGGGTCAACGCCACCGTGTGGAAGCTCCAGCCCACAGCCGGCCTGCGGGACCTGCACCTCCACTCCCGGCAGGAGGTCAGGGCTCGGATCTGCCAGGGCGGGGAGCAGATGTGGAGGCCGGGGAGCAGATGTGGAAGCCGGGGAGGGGCGTGCTGGATGTGTGCTGACAGGGAGGGAGCCAGGCCAATTCCCTTGGTCAGGGGCTACCCCTTGGGAGGGTGGGCGGGGCCTGGTCCCTGCACGAGGGGCACATCTGTGCGGACAGAGACCGCCCCCAGAACGCCTGTGCATGATACGGTCTCTTGCGTGGGCCTGGTGAGCTGGGAGCCACCCACACCCCACACACGAGGGTGCTAAAGGCAGGGTTGGCGTCTGAGGCCCGAGGACAGGGTAGCGTGGGATTGTCTCAGGCCTGTTTGCCCCTGGGGGCCTGGGCTCTAACCAGGAGCTCCCCGGCTAATGCTGGTGCCCACAAAGGAGGGGGGAGAAGGCTGCTGTGAGTCAGGCAGCAGCCGGAAAAGTGTGTGCGTGGGAGGGGGTGGGGGGGCATGGGGTCTGCCTCTGGTTGACCCTAAGGACACTGTCTGCAGGAGGGTCCGGGGAAGATCCTGGAGTACTCGGTGCTGCTGCCCCGCGCGCTCTTCCAGAAGACCAAAGGCCGGAGGGGGGAGGCTGCCCAGAGACTCCTCCTGGTGGACTTCAGCAGCCAAGCGCTGTTCCAGGTACAGTCCCTCCACCCGCCCCGGGAAAAGCCGTGTCTGTCTGACGGAAAGATGGAAGGAAGGCATGGAGCCCAGCCCCTCCTCCAGGAGTCAGAGCCCTTCCTCACAAAGCCAGAAATTGGCCTGCACCGTGCACATCTCCCTGGGGGGTCTGAGTGGCATTGTTCTCACTACAGTGTAAATGACTATCCAGGCAATCACTGTTCCCAACGGGAGACCCAGCATGGCAGCGACAGGAGCTAGAGAGCCTAGGGGATTCTGGGCCTTTCTTCTCAGCCCCAAACCCCTCCCTCCTCTCTCCCCACCTCACATCTAGGACAAGAATTCCAGCCAAGTCTTGGGGGAGAAGGTGTTGGGTATTGTTGTGCCGAACACCAAGGTCGCCAACCTCTCGGAGCCTGTGGTGCTCACCTTCCAGCACCAGCCACAGCCGGTGAGTGTGAGCAAACAGCCAGGAGACGGGGTCCCCTTTGGCCATGTTTTCCTTTCTCCCCCCTCTCTTCTGAATCACTGGTCTTCAACGAAATGATTGAGTGGCCAATCAGCCAGTCAGGTCCAACTGGGGGGTGTGTGGGGGTGTGTGAACGAAGGGGTGGACTGTAATGGATGCACTCTTCCTTCTGGTCCCTACAGAAGAACGTGACACTGCAATGTGTATTCTGGGTTGAAGGCTCAGCATGTGAGTGTGGAGGGGTCTGCCCTGGGCAGGTACCTGGAGGGTGGGGGGCATGGGGTTAATCTGGGAGGGCTTCCTGGACGAGGTGGGCTTTGAAGAGGAAGTGATGGCAGATGAGGGGTCTGCCAGGTGGAGCAAAGGCTCAGGAGAATGATACTGTCATACATTTGGGGGTTCAGTGGGGTCCTGGGAGACTGGGCTTGATCAGAGCCCCCTGCTGTCCCCTCCCCAGTGACCGGCCCAGGGAGCTGGAGCAGCGCCGGGTGCAAGACCATCAGCAGAGAGAAGCAGACGTCCTGCCACTGCGACCACCTGACCTATTTCGCAGTTCTGATGGTGAGCTCTTGCTGTGTGCCCGCCACCCCTCAGAGAGTCTGTCACCTATTCCTCACAACAACCCCCCAGGTGGCTCCTGTTCTCCCATTTTATAGATAATGAAACGGAGGCTCAGAGAGGTTAAGCAATTTACCCGAGGTCACACAGCTCCTAAGGAAAGGAGCTGGTTTCTACAACCCCTGCCGTTTATCGCCAAGTTTTGGCGCATGAGAAAAATGCAGATTCCTGGCCCTGACCTAGAATGCCGACTCCTCGGGGCTGGGGTGGAGCTAGGGGAGTGCTTCTAAGGAGCCCTCGAGGGGGCACCGAGGTCCAGTGTGGAGGCCCTGGGGTGGCCATGAGTTCCCCCAAGATCTCAGAAGCTATGTGTCCGAGGTCCCCGTTCTCAGAATCTTAGAACCCAGAGTCTGAGGGACCAGAGTGGCCTTCAGCTATTCCCTGGGGGCAGGTGCTTTCTCCATCCCAGACACCCTAATCCTGCGTTGAATGTTGTAGAAAACTAATCAGTGCCCAGGCCGAAGAGGGTACCTGGTGAGGGCCCCTGGCCTTTGTGGGTCAGGGACCCGTTGGGGAACGTGCTGAAAGCTATAGGCCCCTCCAGAAAATGCACTCACAGGACCGCAGTCTGCTCAGTCTGGGGAGGGGGTTCACAGACCCTTGAGGCCCCCCCCCCACGGACCACGGGCTCATGGAGGATACACACCGAGGCAGCACTGACCTGTCTCGTGGACCCAGGTGGCCTCCGTGGAGGTGGACGCCGTGCACAAGCACTACCTGACCCTCCTGTCCTACGTGGGCTGTGTCATCTCCGCCCTGGCCTGCGTCCTCACCATCGCCGCCTACCTCTTCTCCAGGTAGGACTGGGGAGGGCGGCAGAGGGGAGGGAGGCCCGTTCCAGGCCCCCAGGCCAGGACCCACCACCACGGAGACCTGCCCTGGAGATGGGTGTGGTGGTGGGAGCCATGAGAGGTGCTGGCTGCTGGCCCCTGGGCACCGCCTTCCCTCCTCAGATCTGTGGTGTGTGGGTAACAGCATTTCCCCCTGACTTTGGGAGCATCTGGTGGGTTGTAGTGGCTGATTTGTCTATTTTGCTGCCTGGCTAAGGCTGCTGTTAAATGCACATAGTAGGTGCACAGGGACAAGTGGGGAATGGCTTGGCTGCAGTCAGAAGTCTGTGTGTGTGTGTGTGTGGTTGTTTGTGTGTGTGTAGTCTGGGAAGGCTGCCTGGAGGAGGAGGAGCAGGTACCCCCTCCCTCCTTCCCACACTGGTCACAGGGTAACCATTCCCCTTGCCCCGCCCCATGCAGGAGGAAGTCTCGGGATTACACCATCAAGGTGCACATGAACCTGCTGCTGGCTGTCTTCCTGCTGGATGTGAGCTTCCTGCTCAGTGAGCCGGTGGCCCTGACAGGCTCCGAGGCTGGCTGCCGCGCCAGCGCCATCTTCCTACACTTCTCCCTGCTCGCCTGCCTCTCCTGGATGGGCCTGGAGGGCTACAACCTCTACCGACTGGTGGTGGAGGTCTTCGGCGCCTACGTCCCTGGCTACCTGCTCAAGCTGAGCGTTGTGGGCTGGGGTGAGTCGGTGCAGGGTGTTGGTGGGCCCCCAGACCTGCCCTGGCTTCTGGCCAAACCAGGCACCTGGCTGTGCTTCTCCACCTAGCTCTCTGATGGCTTCCTCACTACCTCCTTCCCCCTCCTCCTCCCATCCTCAGGCCTCACCAGAAGGCAGGGGAGGGGTGAGCCTCACAGGGTGGGAGATGGAGCTTCACCCTTTGCTGTCCACAGGCTTCCCCGCCTTCCTGGTGACCTTGGTGGCACTGGTGGACATTAACAACTACGGCTCCATCATCCTGTCTGTGCAAAGGACCCCAGAGAGTGTCATCTATCCTTCCATGTGAGTGGCTGTGTGTGGTGGGGGCAGGAGTTTGGGCCTCGGAGTGCTTCACCTTTGTACCATCTATATTATCACTTGCTTTAATATTTTCCTTTAAATCGTCTAACTGTTAATTTAAAGATATATTTTTTAAAAATTATCAACTTACAAATCGGAAACCAGCATCACTGTCAGATACAGCGAGTAATCATACAAACAGACACGGGGACGAGGAAGCCCTGGTACCAAATGCTGGCTGATGGCTGTGAGCCGGAGGCCGGCTCTTTGTTAAAAAGGGAGACTAGCGAGAGTAAGAGGCAATAAACACACATCAGCACCCAACGGAGCCTCTCCTTGGACTCCCGAGAAGGAATCAAGGAGACTTGAGGACAGAGTGACTTTCAACCCCATGAGCCCCTGGTGTTTAAAGCAGTTCCCCTGCACCCTACTGGGCCCGCCCCACCCTGCACTGAGCCCCCACCCTGGTCTGCAGGTGCTGGATCCGGGACTCCCTGGTCAGCCACATCACCAACCTGGGCCTCTTCAGCCTGGTGTTTCTGTTCAACGCGGCCATGCTGGCCACGATGGTGGTGCAGATCGTGCGGCTGCACCCCCACACCCAGAAGTGGCCCCACGTGCTGACCCTGCTGGGCCTCAGCCTGGTCCTCGGCCTGCCCTGGGCCCTGGTCTTCTTCTCCTTTGCTTCCGGCACCTTCCAGCTGGTCATCCTCTACTTCTTCAGCATCATGACCTCCTTCCAAGGTAGGCGTGGCCTGGTGTCGTGGGTGACCGCGGGGTCACGTCGGTGCCAGGAGCCTGTGTCCAGAGGAGGGCAGAGGGCAGGGGGCAGATCTGAGTCGAGGTGACTCTGGGAGGGAGAAGTTGGGGGGATGCTGCCACCCGCCAGCTGAGCCCCGTGTCCCTCGCCGCCCACAGGCTTCCTCATCTTCCTCTGGTACTGGTCCATGCGGCTGCAGGCCCAGGGCGGGCCCTCCCCTCTGAAGAGCAGCTCGGACAGCACCCGGCTCCCCATCACCTCAGGCAGCACCTCGTCCAGCTGCATCTAGGTCGCCAGCCCGCCACCCGGTGTGAGGGAGCAGCGATGCGGCCTCGCACCACTGCCTGCACCCCTGCTGCCGGCCCCGGGACCTCAGAGGGCTGGAGCTGTCACATGGCGGCCGGACTCCTGGGCTGGGCCCTTCTGAATTGGCCCTCGGACCACTGGGCTTGTGGGCTCCCTCTCAAGGGGCTCAGGAGTGGGACCATCCTCCTGGCCGCCCTCGCCTGGGGCTGAAGGCCAGGCTGAACTCGCCCACCCTGGGCTCAGCCCTCGTGGCTGGGGGTTGGGAACCGCAGGCCCCGGAGTCAGATGGTGGACCTTGGAGACCTGGCAGAGGCTTTGGCCTCGTGCCTCTGCCCAGGACGGAAGTGGGCCGTGGCTGTCCTGTTTCTGGTGACCACCAGGAGGGTACTCTGCAGCCCCTGTCATTTTAACCCAAGGGTGGCACCCAGGGTGAAAGGGATTGGGGCCAGACTCAGACCTCGGCAGGAGGAGACTCCTACCTCCACCCCTACCAGCAGCAGCTGCCCTGCGGCTGAGCTCAGGACTTTGTGCTGTCAGCTTCCCAACCCACCCTCTCCCCTCCCCTGTCCTCCACTCACAGCCCGGGGTCCCCAGTTCTAATGGCGTATTTTGGGCCGTGGTTCCCCAGAGCTGCCCTGTGCCTGCGGTAAACCTTTACCTGCTGCCCGGGCCTTTGCAGGGCCCTGACTCAGGCTTAGGATAGGTGTTCTGGGCTAGTTCCACTTGTCCACCGGGGCCTCTCTGTAAGCCGCATCACCCTCGTTCACTGCCAAGCCCATACCTCTCAGGGGACCTCAGCCGCCCCCAAGGCCCGCTGGTGGCAAGAATTGTGGCACGTGTTGGAGTAAATCTGTTTCCATCCCAGCACCCTGCAGACGGAGGCGTATCTCCGCTGGTGACACCGGCCTAGAGCCCATCTCAGTTCACTCTGCTGGACATGGAGGGTCAGACCTGGTCACCCCCACTCCCCTGTGACCTCCTACCCTAGTGTGTGAGGTGCGCTACAGGCATGGGGCTGGAGGAGCCATCCGCCTGGCGGGAAATCCAGGAAGACTTCCTGCAGGAGGCAGCATTGGATCTGCATCTCAGCCTTAGAGATGGGGAGGATTTTCTTTATAGTTACTAATTCCTTTGTCTTTGATATTAAAAAGGAAGTGATAGTCATTGTAGAGAATTTGGAAAGCGTAGAAGAGTGTAAAGAAGAAAATAAAGTCTGCTGTTGTCATCACCTAACAAATTGATGTAAACATTTTGGGGCGCTGCCCCCGAGTTTTCTTCTCTGCTTCTGTTAAAAGCCACTGATTGGGAAACATGAATGAGAGAAGGGGACTATGTGTGGGGGAGGGCGGGGGGGGGGGAACAAAACAAAACACCTGCTGCTGCCCT